AACTTTCCTCCAATTTTAAAGATGATCTGCTGATTTAAGAAGGTTTGTAGTAGCACAGAAAATATAAACAATTTCAATTGATGTGACTTTATTGAAATCTCAGTACCCATGACTTCATTGAAAATCCATGCATGGTGTGGTTTTTAACCTGGGGAGACACTACAGGTAACTATTGCGGGTGGTTGGTGCAGAGAACATGTGCCCATTGGCTGCGTTTCCTTCTGGAGACTTCTCACAACATTTTCAACTCTCCGTCAGGTCCAGATGTTGCTATTTTCATGGTCTGTCGTCTTTACAAGAAATTTCCACCTCATAATTCATTTATATCTCATCACACCTATATTAGGATCTGCAACTTCCCACGTTTCATTGATGTGTTTCCATTTCTGGCCAGTCTGCTTCTGTTCCATGATCTCACATCTGTCCTTTTGCCAAAACAACACCAAGGTTCTCTTGACTCCTAAATTATTTGAGTTTTCCTGTAAGCTTTATAACACATTCTTCAATTTCTATAAATAAAAATTCCGTTCAGATTTTGATTTTGAATGCGTTGCATCTGTAGAATGATTTGAAGAAAATTGTTACATTAAAAGTTTGAAGTCTCCCGACACATGAATAAATTCTCCGTTTGTTCAGGTTTTTACAAATCTCTCTAAATAGTGCTTTATGGCTATCAGAATAAAAGTGTTTGCCAATCTTTGAAAGATTTACTCTTCTTAATTTAGTGTAGGGTAATGGGATTGCTTTTTTAAAATGTTAGTGTATATGTTTTGTTGCTTTGTAAATAGAAATAAATAATAATGTTAAAAACACACTTCATATCTTTAGAGCAGTTTTATGTTAAGTGCTAAATTAAGGGAAAGATACAGAGAGGTCCCATATGTCCCCTTCTCTGACATGCAGTCTCCCCCACCAGCGTGGCACATTTTTTACAACTAATATTTGTGAATTTACTTTCAATCAAATAGCTTTCCCTAGTTGACTTGTTTTTAGTTGCTTTTTTTTGTAGATTCCTTCCAATTTTTTTACCAGCATAATCATGTAATTGGTGAATAAAGAGTTTTACTTTTTCCTTTTCAAAACCTATTCTTCTTTATTTCTTGCCTTGTTCGGCTGACTAGTTTCTCCAGGACAACGATGAGCACAGGGGACAGATTTCAACAACTTAACATTAATATATTGACAGCTGCCATATTCTTACATGCTTTTACCAGACACAGGGGCTTAATTTCCAAATTTATTTAGCAGAGAGGTGTCATGAGAATGTGCTCAAGTTTATCAACTTATTTTTTTCTTCTTTTGTCTACCAAGCAGGTAACATGCTTTATTTTTTTCTTTAGTCTGTTAATGTGTTGATTTATACTTGCTGACGTTTTACAGAAGTGAACTCACGCTGTATTGAAATAACCATCATCAAGCACACAATTCTGCAGCATTTTGTGCACTCACTGTCGTGCAGCTGCCACCTCCATGTCATGACCTTCAATCCTGGAACAGCTCCCAATAGGTCTTCTAGGTCATGATATCACACGCACCTCACACATTGTTATATTCCATTCCCAGAGCTGTTTGGGACTTTTGCTTGTATGTTCATGAGAGATATTGGCTTGTAATTTTATTTCATATAACAGTATTATTTTTTTTTTTTTTAGAATTACACAAGTTACATAGAAGTAGTTAGTACATGTGCCCTATTTCTTTATTCTTTGAAAGAGTGTGTGCAAGATGGTATTTGTTTCCACAAACATTCATGGGTTACAAGGCTAAATATTATATAAAGAGGCAAACTTCCACATTTGCACAAACTGAGCTATGCTTGCAGAGAAGCACCAATAAAAACCTTGCAATGCATTTTTTTTATTTTGGTTGTTGTTGAAGTTTACAACCAGATACCAAATGTTTGTGAGAGTTAGAAGGGCCCCCAAACAGGCAGGGTGATCTGAAGAAGGTAAACAGGTTTGAGGATTTGACTACTTGACGCCAGGCCTTGTCATGAACATGTGTAATTCAGGCAGTTTGCAATGGCACAGAGGACAATGCACCTTCGTGCTGGGTTGGCAGCTGGAGACAGCGACTGGATGGCCATATGAGGGAAAGATAAACTGGATTTTTAACACCAGTTATACTCTAAAAAAATTAATTCAAGTTGAATTTTAGATTAAAATATGAAAACTAAAATGTTAGAGGTCTAAATATTTTCATTTCTATACTATGGGTAAACTAGAAAACAAAACAAAATGAACCAACAAGCAAACAAAAATCAGGAACTAAAATATAATAAACATAAAGGAAACATTTGATATATTGGGTTTTAAAATTGAAATTTTCTTCATCATGTGACACGATTATGAGAGTGAAATCAAGAGCAGCAATGTGGGAAAAAGTGACTCCATGTACATTTACTCCCTCCCCACAAAGACTCCCCTGCACCTGCCAGAGTGGCTGAAAACACAGAGAGCTGTGGAGGACAAGCCGACAGGCAGGAGCAGCTCCGATGTTCGTGGGGATGACAGGCAATCGGAACTTTCAGTGCCTCTGATGTGACAGTAGGTCGATGTGGGCATTGGGACAATCAGTTTGACGCTGTCTCCTAATGTTGAGGACAACTGTGCCAGTGACCTGTATGTTCTGCTCCCAGGAATGAGGGGGAGACGTGATGTTGTCCTTTTGTCACACGGTTAAATACCAGCACAGTTAGAAATCAACATATGACTCTAACATGTGTTCACAAGACAGATTTACCTACATATCTCCACAAAAGGACATGCAGTTTTGCCCCCAGCAGCACCGTGTTTATGTCCTGAACTGGACACCAGCTTCCTGTCCTCTCACAGAAGTTGTTCAATGCACACAACAGTCCATGTTTGGATTCATTCACATGCAGTCAGACAGTGGCAGCATGAACCCGTGGACTAGACATCGGGTGTGACTCATGTGCAGCAGGGCTTGGATAAAGCGGCTTCAGGGGCTGTGCTACAATTGTAAAGAAGCAGTGGTTATTTTACAATTTTGGAGGCTGGATGTCCAGGATTCAGTGGTGCATCTAGTGAGGGCCTTCTTCTGGGTGGGGGCTCTCTACAGTGTCCCAAGGTGACGCAGGTGTCACATGGTGGCTGAGCAAGAGCTTATACCTATGTGCCTCTTCCTATCTTTGTAAAGCCCACAATCTCTTTCCTGATAACTCATTAAACCCTTAACCCAAGAATCCATCCATGAGGTCCCAGTCCTCATGATCCATTGACCTCTTAAAGTCCCCACCTTTCAAATACCTTATTGGGGATTAAGTTCCAGCATAAGCTTTGGAGGGGACACACATTGAGACCACAGAAGGGACCCTGTCACATTGTCATTTTTGATTGGGGTGTGCCTCTGCGAGTGGTGTGCTGTAGTGACATATGTGGTATTTAAGGCTGGCCCTGTTTTCTGCAGCACTGCCTTCTTGTCCTGGAGTGTCACCTGGGCAGTGGCTGGTGGGTTTACACTAACGAGGGCCCTCACAGACCTGACATGGTACCTCACCAGGCCATCTTTGGCATCATACCTACCAGAGTGCTATTCCCCATAGAGATGTGTTCTGATACTTTCTCCTCCTGGCTTCTAGGAGCAAAGGTCATGCAAAGGGAAGGCTGGAAGGACCTTCTGTCCCACATTAGGGGCTGTGTCAAAGCTCCTGAGATGGGGACCTGGGGATATCTGTTTCTGGTTCTGGATACTTTCATAGAAGGACTCACATCCACCTCTCCTCCCACACTCCGTGCTGACCCACGCTTATCCTCACCACTTTGGTGAGTGGTCTCAGTTCACAGTGAGGTAGCAGGACTTGAACATGCCCTGGTGGAGGACAAATCATTGTTCACTTGTGTCTTTTGAGGCTCATCCTGGTGTATCATTTGTGATGGGACAATTGATTCACTGCCGTTCATGCTCCTAAGGATGCGTCTGTTTTCCTGGATGAACAAATCCTGTCACTAGAGCTATGACATTTAACCCACCTGGGACAGCTCAGCAGAACTCAGTAGCTTACAACTGGGCAGTGAAGGACAGTTCCCTGGTGGCCTTGGAACTCCAGTTCTCCCCTTTTCCCTGCTTGTAGTTCTCAGGAATAACTGTTGAATGTGCTTGAAAGACAACGTCCTGAGACAGGGCTGGACTGGGCAGCATGTCCTGGGCCATGTTCCCATCCCTCCCAGGGAATGTAGCACCTTGAGTTAGGGAGGAACTGGCTGGGACAGTCCAGCATTTTTTCTTCCTCCCCTGGATGGAGGACGTACTTCAGAGCTTTAGCCCAGTGGGCTGTGTGACCTCTGGGGTTCACCACCTGGAGTAGGCTGCCTTTCGGGGTCCTGTTGCTGTGGTACAGGTGGGACACACACAGTTGAGACTCCATGTACCCTGGGCAGCTTTCCTGAGTGTTGCGGGACAGCTCACAGAGATAAGAGATGTCTGTCCCTTGTCTATCTGTTAGTGATAAACCTACTTCGTGTAACCTGTTGCATGTGAGCATGCTCTGACTTGCTGGATGCAGACACGCTGGTGACTATGTGCAGTGAGCCTGCGTCTCCAGCTGCACATTCACGTTTGGCTGCTCCGCATCCACCCATTTCCAACTGAGCTCACGGCTGCTGCAGTCCCTCTGCCACGTGGCCAGGTGTGTTGTGGAGACCCGAGAGCAAAAGACCCCTCTAGAGTCTGCAGGTAACCTTGAGATCCCTGGGGACATGGAGAACTAGTGAACAAGATGAGGTGTCCATGTCCATCTCCACCAGCCAGTCCTTAGCAGGAGTGGCCCTTGCTCCTCACGACCTCAGCCCAGCCAGGTGTGGACACATCCTCCTCAGCTCAGGCTTGACCTGGGCTCTGGACACTTGGTTGGGGGAACCATGAGAGCCTGGACCACAGCAACCTTCTCCCTCCCTGTGCCCACGTGGGACAGGGACAAAGGGACTTGTAGGTGAGGACAATTCAGAAAGGAAATCCCTCCAGGCCTCCTCTGCACTTGCCTCTGGGACTGGACCGCTGCCTGCTGCGGGTTCCCTGTATGACCTGGTGGCCCTGTGTGCACTTGCAGGGAGGTCTGTGTCTGAGCTTGCACTGAGATACCCTCTCTGTGTCTCACACAGTAATGAACGCCTGTGTCCTCAGGGGCCACACTGTGTATTTGCAGATGCAGTGTGTTCTTGGAATAATCACTGGAAACAGTAAATCTGCCTTTCACAGGCCCAGCAGACTCTTCTGTGAGGCCACCAGCACGATGTCTTTTCAAACCAACCCACTCCAGCCCTTCCCTGGAGCCTGCTGGACCCAGATCATCCAGTTGTTCCTGAAGGTGAATCCAGAGGCTACACAGGAGAGTCTCAGAGTCCCCACAGTCAGCACCAAGTCTCCCCTGGACTCCACCAGCTGCACCTCATGCTAGACACCGGCAAACACAGAGACATGGTGTTTACATGGACTCACATGGATGCAACACATGCACACACAAGACTCTCAATGCACCCCACTCCTGAAAACGACCTTGGTCGATGATGAGGAATAAAAGCCAGCTTGGCACAGAGTTCCTGGAGGAGCTGCTGGGTTCTGTCCTGTCCCAAAACCTGGGTGGAGCTTCTCTGTGAGAATGCCTGGCAAGCCCCCTCTTTGTATCAGGAGAGGAGAATCCATTTGCGTGTGCTGCAGACACAACTGTGCAGCCTGGACTCCGTGCTGTTCCTGGTATAGCTGCTGGGTTCTGTCCTGTACCAAAACCTGGGTGGAGCTCCACTGTGAGAATGCCTGGCCAGCCTCCTGTTTGTATCAGCAAAGGAGAATCCATTTGCATGTGCTTCAGACACAACTGTGCAGCCGGAACCCTGTGCTGTGTGCAAGACCTTGTCATCTTATGAATGACCCCAGGTGCAGCCAGGACCAAGAATGCCAGCAACAAGGTGGCCCCTGTCCTGAGCATCCCTCCCACTCTGTCTTAACAAGGCCCCTATGATCCGACCCATCCCTTTTGATATGATCCTCAGGAATTGAAATTCCTCTGGCCTCAGGGTTTTGTGAACGTGGATGAGGAGACTGTGAGGTCTTCCCCAGAGGTGCCATGGTTGGGGACATCTTACTGCTTTTCTTCATTTCCTGTGTTACGTGTGACTTTTCTGGGTCTAGGGAAATTTGAGTTGATAAAATATCCAGGCATAAAGGACCCCACTGGAATGATCCCCATCTCCCGCTGAGCCTTCCTCTTGGCCAGCCTGGTGCTCTGCAGACACCTCCTTTCAGGGCTGCAGAAGAGCTCCGTGGTGCTCCGAGTATTTCTTCTGTTGGCATCCCCTGTTGAAAAGACCCCTCCCTTCTAATGTACACCACACAGGGATCCAGATGAGTACTAATTGGACTCAGTTGTAGACTGAGTCTCTCTTTCCACTGATCTCTTCACCAGAAAGTGGACCATGTGTGTCGATGGAGTGAGCTCACTGCACACCATGGATATGGGTGCACCCCCTACCCGAGACCCATGGAGCAGGTGTGGTAAGGAGGTCCCTGACAGACACCAGGGAGGAGGTAAGATGAATAGGGGGTGCCAATGTTTTGTAGCCAAATGAAACATCCACCACGTTGAGGCCTTTGACCCACATTCAGGTGAACTTGCTGATGCTCCTCACAGAGCTGCACCTGTTGATCACACCCTCCCCGTGAGCTGGCAACCTGCAGAGCTGCCCTCTGACTCCACCATTAGTGTTTGTCTACTGTGGCATAATCCTTCCACTGATGCCAATTGTCGAGCTAGGACTGGGTCTGAAGCTTAGAGACCCCACGAGCCCACTCACAAACCATTCACATGCAGGTCTATGAGCTAGGAAACTGGACAAAAACGTCCTTGGAGCCTTGATTGAAGACAGAGGAATCTTTATTTAGCACACACAACACTAGGAGCTAAACAGTACAAAGAGATACTCAGAAACTCCAAAACTCAACTGCTACCAGCAAAGTCCAAAGAAAAACTGAAACTGAGCAGCTGCCAGCAGAGTAAACACGCTCTATTGTTAGAGGTGAGCTCTGCCCCAGCCTACTTCACAAACTGCATAACACACAAAAGCTATTAACTAGAAAGATACATGGGTGCACATGCACACCAACTCTACCCACCCACAACTTGTTGACAAGAAATGTGTGGGGCCTGACTAAATCATCCTATTTTCCCCACAACTCCCAATAATCAATATCATCCCAGTGCTTACAAACTAATGACCATGGTGTCTTGTGAGCCACTATAACTGTCCTTTGTTTTAATTAGCATCTTTTACACAGGATGACATGATCCCAAGAGTGCAGTTCAGTGAAACATCCCCAAGCACTGATGTGGTGACACAGGCTGAATGCACAGAAATGACCCCATGTGAAGGTGAGAGGCATTAACTTCCCTGTCCTGGGACTCCCCTCCTGCCCTCCCCAGCCCTCCCACCTTCTCTCTTCCTTGGGACTCACTCTCTGAAAGTCTAAATTCTGACATGAGTTTTGGCTGATTTTGAACTTGATTTAAATGGGGTCTTAGGACACCTGTACTACTGAATCTGCCTTCTTCACTTAACATCACATCCCGAGGCCTGGCTGTGGGGAAAATAGGATAATTTAGTCAGGCTCCCTCCACATTTGTTGTCAACGAGTTGTGTGTGTGGAGGTAGTGCGCATGTGCACCCACGTATCTTTCTAGTTATTGCTATTTTGTGTTCTTCAGTTTTTGAAGGAGGCTGGCCCCTGAACTCACATCAGCACCGCACTCTACCGAGTGAGCCACGGGCCGGCCCCCCCAGAACTCACATCTAACAATAGAGCACATTTACTCTGCTGTCAGCTGCTCAGTTTTTCTTTGGACTTCGCCAGTGGCAGTTGAGTTTCTGAGCTTCTCTGGGGACTGCTTAGCTCATAATGTTGTGTGTGCTGAATAAAGACTATTCCTTCTTCAACCAAGGTTCCAAGGAAATTTTTGCAGGTGACCTAGATTATAGACCTGCATTTGAAGGGTTTATGAAGGTGTTCAAGGGGTCTGTGAACACCAGACCCCAGCTCTAGGTCTACATTGACGGAAGTCATTGTCCCTGTCTTTGCAGTGTAATTATTTTGTGCTTCCTTATATCATTCTGTTTTCTGAATAAACATCAATTTATTACACTGTCCCACAGTCAGAGGGCATTTGGGAGTTTTCTAGGTTTTGGTAAACCAGAACATACATCTGAGAACATTCCTGCACAAACCTTTTCATACATGCACCTTGGAGATCAGGAGTGTTTTTGAGTCACTGGCTATACTGAGAAAGCAGAAATTAGTTTGGATTGAGAGAGTGGAAGTCTGCCCTGCCCTTCATCAACTGGGATAACAGATGCATAAGAAGCAGCCCCAGAATAAACAGGAATCAACCCTCCTCTCAAGGACTCACTTCAGCTGTGAGCATCAGGACAATCCTCTTTTTCAGTGACTGCTGTTTACTTCTCACTGTGAATCCTCATTCTCTAGAATTTTCCGCTGTGAGAATCACTGATGTTTGAAATGCACCAGTGAAAGCAGCACATGTCTCTCCCTCCTGGAGGACTGAAGTCATGTTGGTGCAGGGATTAGTCCTGATTTCCTACACTGGCATTAAGGTGTCTGGACACACTTCCTGCTTTCTGAGAGACGCATTTAAACTTCTGCTTCTTTCCTTCCTGTGAGATTAGGCTTCTACATCTCGTATTCACTGTCCCTTCATGTGTCATCATTTGTATGGATCCATGTATATTTTGCCAGTTTTCCTTTCTTTCAAATTTATTAAGAGAATGGTAATAAAATAAAATAGCAGTGAGCCCATCACATGGCATGAAAAACAGAATCTCTTTTTCATCCTTCTTATAACCATCCTATTCACTCATTTTCCAGAGACAAGACTCATTCCAAACTCTGTGTTCATCTCTCCATGTCTCACTTTACTAATGAAGATTAATCAGTCTTGTGTAGATAATCCACACTGTCTATACCATGTGCCCCTGTAGTGCCTTCTTGCCACCAATCCAGACCTCTCCCTGAGGGCTGCCTGACCCAGTTCCAAGTAGCAGTGTTGCTAGGGACAGTGTCCCCAAAGATGGCACAGGTGAGGGACAGGGTCTGTGAAGGCTTTGCCAGGATAGGCCCCTATTCCAATTAGCTGCACGTAGGACAGGCCACTTGGAGAGAAGGGAAACTGCAAAGTTACACTCCCCATCACTGTCTGAATGCTACTGGGACACTGTATGTCCCCAACACTGACCTCACAGACACCCAGTGCTGGGGGAATACAAGGAAAGAGCCAGATGTTTAATGGGGTGATGCAGAGTCGCTGCAGGATGTATCCCATGAAATTTTCAAATAATCAAGTTTAGGTGCAGTCCACTGTCTCTACTGTTTCTGCCTTCAGTTTCATCACTTTGTTCTTATCCCTATTTTCCTTCCTTTTGTTTGATTTCAGTGGATTTCAATCTCCCCTTTCTTGTTGTGTAACGTGGAAGCTGAGATCAATGACTTGAGGCCCTTCTGCTCTGCAGGAAGCACTAGATGCTGTACGTTGTCCTCTGAGCTCTGCTGCAGCTGCATCCCACACGTGATACTGTCTAATCTCAGGTTCACTCCACTTTTCCTTCAGATCTGAAAGGTATTTTCCCTTGAGTTAAAATTCAGTGTTGACGGGCACTTTTCCTTCAGATCTAGAAGCTTTTTCCCTTGAGTTACAATTCAGTGTTGATGGATTTGTCTTTCCGTTCAGAACTTTGAAGGGGTCCCTCCATTGTTCTCTAGCTCTGACAGGTTTCTTTGCATGGATTTGATGTTATCAACCTTGTTTCTCTCTTAAAATTGTCTTTTTTTTTTTCTCCTCTTAATATTGTATTCACTTTCTCTGGTTTTCAAGACTTCGATTTTGATACACCTTCAGTTGATTTTCTTCTTTCCTTCTTCTTCCCCCCCCCCCTTTTTCTTGTCATGGCTTTGCCATCTTAGATCTGTGGGATTTTAGTTTCCATGAAATCTTGAAAATATTTGCCCCTGATGTACTTAGACATTTCTTTAGTCTTCCTGCACTTTCTCCTCTTTCTGGTGTCCCAACTACATGTGTACTATATGGCTTCTCTTGTCTCTTACCTAAGTGACAGGTACTATTTCTGAAAACTTTACATTCTGTGCTGCATTTTGGGGTAACTTTTATTACTTGTCTTCAAGTACACCAATGATTTATTATTCAGTGTTAATCTTATTTCATGAATTATTTAATTTCCGATATATATATATTTTAACATCTAGATGTTCCATTTTGGTCCTTTGACTTCCTCACATTTTTCTTCTAAGGATAGTTCTGTTGTCCTATACTTTACTGAAAAACATAGACTTTTCATCATAGATGTTTCAATAATCTTCTCTCTGATACCAGGTGTTAGGATTCTCCAGACAAGCAATAGCTAAAGAAACTATNCTGGAGGCCTGGGAATGCCCATGGTGCAGTTCTAGTCCAGGCCCCAAGCCCTGAGGACCACAAGATTGATGGTGCAAGCTTAGGTCGAAGTCCAAAGACCCAGAACCAGGGAAGCTGACATCTAAGTGAGGAGGAAACTGACTTCACATCTCAAGCACAAGGAGAGAGTCTGCCATCTCTTGGCCTTTTTCTTCTATTTGAACCCCCGGTATGTGGGATGAAGCCCACCTAGACTGATGAGCCTGGTCTTCTCTGCTCAGTTAACCTATTGAACTGCTATTGTGTTCTGGAAACACCCTCACAGACAAAATCAGAAACAATGTTTCCCCGGCTGTCTGGGTATCTTTTAATCCAATCAAGTTGACACATAAAATCAACTACCACATTCCATTATCTCTTTTTCATGAGACTCTTTCTATTGATTCATTTTTATTCCAGTGGTGGGATATATTTTAATGATTTTTTGAATGCTTAGTTATTTTTAATTTTATTCAGCCATTTTGATTTTAGGTTGTTTGGTGATGCATTTTGTCTGTCCCCTAACTTTGTCACATTGTTTGGAATCAGTTGGATGCTTTCGAAGCTATTGTTGGCATACTTTAGGTCAGGTTCCTAACAGATTTCAGTCATGGACTAATTTTGCACTACTAGTAATGTGACGGTCTTCAGAGGACTCTACCCACTGCTCCCTGTATCATGAGATCTTTCCAGTCTGGCCATGGAAACAGAAACAGTTCTTCCCTTGTGTGGGC